GTTATTACCATTGAAAGTATTGAACTTTGGTAAAGAATACCATTTCAGGTATGGTACTTAGTCATACTCAGCAGGGTACGGATGACCTTTGCCCACCAATTTTTCTGCTTGATCGATGACTATAATAGCCCTGATCTTTTTTGTGATGATTCCTTCTAATTGTGCAGCAGTCACTGGTTCGGAAGTACTTGCAACATTTTGTGGGGTGGGCTGACGGATGACATTATGAACTTCGTTGCCACCTTCAAGAGTGCCCCGTACTCCTGAGACTTGAGTCATTTGAAAGTTTGGAGGATCCATAGGAGGATTGGGCATGGCACCAACAGCAACAGTTTTCTGCATCATCATCATCATTGCCCCCATCTGAGCCATCATCTCAGTTATCTTCTCATTCAACTGAGAGATTTCTCTATCTTTAGCTCTCATTTGTCGCCTTATATGTCTTTGCATGTCTGCAAGCGTGACATTCTCGTCAGTGAAGGGATACTCCTTGGCCTTTTCTCTTTCTTCTTCAGCTTGTGAATGACCACCTCTGCCAGTGGTGGAGCCAGCTTCACGACGATGTTGATAAACTCGTCTAATTGGCGGTTGTTGATCGTCATCATCTTCATCGTCATCGTAGTAGGTTTCCTCATTAGCTTTGGTGTGTCTCACCATATAGACAACTTCCATGTCCAGAGTGTTATTTATCTCTTGTACTTCTTCTTCTAGATTTTCCTCTAGAAATTCATCAATATTTTCTTCAATATTTTTGTCTCCTTCAAGATATTCTTATATATTTTTATCCTCTTCAAGGAATTCCTCTTCTTCAAAGTTGTCTCCCCCTTGCATATATCCTTCCTCTTATAGTACTTGGATCTCCGAACGATGCCGCCACTGGATTTCTGGTTCTTGGTTAGGCATAGGGACTTCTTCAACCAGCGGACTACGGTCAAAGTTGGTTTCTTCTTTTGGAGGGGATGGAAGGCGACGGGATCCCCTGGAGGATTCTCCAAGGTGTCTACTAGACCTGTCAATTTCGGGTTACGGTTCGGGTTCGGGTCAACCCGAAATTGACCCGGTACTTTTTGGGTTCGGGTTGACCCGACCCGTTTTTTCAAATGGGTCAATTTTCTGGACCCGAACCCGACCCGCTTCGGGTTCGGGTCAACCCGACCCCACCTATTTCAGCCAAATCTCGCCCCGCGCCTGCATTCAAAAATTTTGCCAAATCACCCTCGCCGTGCGGGCAGCGGGTCACATGCGGGAGTTCGCGGATGAGGTGATGCGGTGAGCCGGTGACCTCGTCAGCCTGACACCGGTAGGCTCCAATTGACGCCGACGCGGGAGTTTAGAATGGCAGGAGATGGCTCGATGTGAAGGCGTGAAGCGACGATCATGAAGAAAGCAGGCCTCGGGATCGGGACTTGATGTTTGTGTAAGAAAGCAGGCCTCAGAACGGCGGGAGATGGCCTCGGGACGCGAAGAAAGCAGGCCTCGGGACGTGAAGGCGTGAAGCGACGCGACGTGGCCGGGCAGGCGGTCTCGGGGCAGCTGGGGCACTCGGGTTCGGGTTTATGTGTTATTTCGGGTCAATTAGGGTCATTCTCGGGTTTCCGGGTCAACCCGAACCCGACCCGGTTTTGCAAACGGGTTGGTTTTCCAGACCCGAACCCGACCCGCTTCGGGTTCGGGTCAACCCAAACCCGAAATTTTCGGGTCGGGTTCGGATCGAGTTTTCGGGTCGGGTCCAATATTGACAGGTCTTGGTCAACTTTATTAATGGGAAATATGCAAAAAAAAAAAAGATGATGTTAACTACCATGAATATCTTATAAGGAATTATAAATGAATATAGGCCAAAAATTAAATGAATGGATAAAGTGTGTAATTATATTCCTATTTTATAGTAACGAAGACCATTAATCTATATTTAATACATTGACTGTTTTGGCCTTTTAAATGCATTTAATGATGCTATTATTACTAAGTGATCGATATTGGAAAATTTCTAAAATGATTCTCTCTTTTTCATGTATAAAACCCTCATGTTCTGAATGTTACTTAGTATTCACCATAGCATAATCAAACATAATTTTATTCTTCGTAGTCCAAAAAATATTGGGAATAAAAGAATAAATTGAAGATGTCATTGTTCTTGAACATACCTTCTTCATTGTGAATCTCAACAGGCCGATTTATATAGGAGATACTGTCCCAGCTGTCTATAGTTGTTACATCCTCTAAATCATCTACATCCTCTCCAAGAATTCTTAAATATAATCTGATAGGTATTCTGCCTGAGCAGCCAAAATGTTATAGAATATTAGAAACTCAACTTTTACAACGGCCAAGAATAAAGTGAAAGCAGGCAGAACCCTGAAAACTGATGATATGTAAAGAAGTGCAGGTAGCTGCAGCAGAAACTCTTAAAGACTTGCAATTTACTTTAATAGTAGTTATAATAACTTTCAAGAACAAAAACTAGTAGTCGAGCACTGTCTAACTCTGAAAATAAAGTCTGATGCAAACTGGGTTATGGATAAAATGCTCCATCAGAATGCTGTTCGGAAGGGTGGAGAAGTAATTTTAACTTTGTAACAAAATTTATTTATTTATTTTTTTGGCAAATGACTCATCATCATCTTTTTCATCATTCGATACCCCAAGGAAATTGTATTTGAAATATTTATTCTCCAACAGAATCATATTTACTTGTATACCATATATTCAAATCTGAAGCAAAGGGTGAGCAGTAATACAAGAACTCTCTTTCTCCAACAAATTATGTCCTGCATGCCCATACAAGGATAAAAATATGCAGTTAAAAGGATTTTCATGGTTCTTTCACTGTTCAAATCGTAATTTATAATTTTTGCAAAAAAAAAAAAAAGCTTCTACCTCTACAATATATATGGGATTATAGGTACACCCGGGAATATCTAAAAATTAATATCCACTAATAGCTTCTGAAGAAAGGTCAGAACCTGTACTCATTCTCATGACAGCATCCTCTCCATATGGTCCAAGCTTAAGCCTGGATGAAACGCGAGTATAACTCTCCATGTTTCCTGTTGCCAATAGATATTTCAGGAACTACATAAATTTTTTGGAGAAATGATATGCTAATTTTCATGAAGAAGTTGAATAAATGATACAGATGCTAATGAATTTGGTTGACCAAATAGTTTACGTTAAAGGGAGCCTGCTAGAATAGCCATCCAAACGAGGACATGTACGATGTCTATGGCAAGATTGATTGGTTTTATTTTGTTTTATTAGTTATGTACAAGTGAAATTTTCAATTTTAATTATTTTTTGTTCCCCTCCCTATTCCTTTCTTCTAACTGCAATCTTTCTACCATTTCCCTTCATCTCACGTCACCTTCTTTCCCGATCTCTGATCCTCTGGTTCTTGCTTCTTCACCTCTATCGAGTATGACTTCCCTACTACATTATTTCAGAGATCCAAGTTTCATTCAAGAAGATTCTACAGCCAGAAGAGTGTTTTTGGTTATTGCCACTGAAAGTTATAACTATTGAAATATTGAATTGAATTTATGTTGATCGATAAATCTCGTGCCATACTAAATAACTATGCCTAGAAAGATCAACATCTCATAGAGATAATCGTGCATTGCAAACCAATCATTGCTTTAATAATGCATGAGCGAATTAATTTCACTTGTATATTCGAAATGAGTGATAAACAATGTGAGATTAAATCTTTCCTGTCACAAATAGTAAGATATGAACTAAACTTTCGTTTCATTTACCATTATTTTGACACTTGCATGTAATGAGTTGAAAAACATGAACCTTGAGTCTTATTTGTACCTGGTTTCTATTATCAGCCTAATAACTTGTTCATTTAGGTTGAACTTCTGTTTAGTTGCATTTTTGCATATCCACCATACCAACTTGTCATCTAATTGCATAGCAATAGCATCATTACATCTTTATGATTATGAGACTTCACATTTTGTGACAAATCACCCGATGAGAGGGCGTTAGTTGTAACTATCATTTAGTGGCATTATTTTGCAACAAAATCACAAAATCAAATGACATATCTTGTGCGCGGATACATTTTCCAAAAAATTTCTCGTGTAGCAATATAGGCAATATGGATGTCATTTTTTGGTAATTCCAACGTTTCAGATGCATAAACGCAATCTATTTTTCAAAACAAGCAACAATTGAGTGTTTTTAAATGCGAACAAGGCGTTTTAGACTAAACTGACATGGCCTTATATTAACTTTTGTCACGGCTATCATCGCCGATTGGATTAAGTTGTGGAATAAGCGTCGAGGTCAATAAGTGGAGTAAAAAACAATCATAAGGCACTTGAAGCAATGTAGAAGCTAAATTTAAAGCTATAGACCATGGTATATAAGAAGCTATGTGGGGCTCAGTAAGCTATTTGTAGACAACGCTTTCGAAATGCTTAAAATTCAAGAAAAATGGAAGAAATGCTTAATTGCTTATTAAATTTAAAAGGAATCATTTACAAATAACTAATTGAGAAAGAGAAATAAAATGTTCTTAACAAAATATGACAAATTCATTAGCTTTACAATTATTCTTCCATAATTTATTTGGACATCAATAATTAGCATATATGATTTCCAAGTATTCACTATTCATGTTAATCCTGTTTTGTTTTTGTTTTTGTTTTGTTTTTTTTTTTGTTTTTTTTTTTTCATTTTCGATTACATCCATTCCATTCATGTTTCTTGCTAATTGAATCAGTTCAAATTATAAATTATGGATAAGTAAATCATGATATTTTGCCCAAATCAACATCTAAAAAGAAAGGAATTATAATTTGAGGCATGAGTATACTGCATATCCTTAAAAGAATTATAAATGATAAATATCCTATGCCTTGGTATGTGTTCTCAATTTAAAGAAAATATCCATGCTAATAACTATTCTTCCATAATAGCTTTGGACATCAATAGTTAGCATATATGACTTTCTACTATTCAATATTCATGTTAATTCTTTTTTTTTTTTCATTTTAGATTACATCAATTCCGTACATGTTTCTTGCTAATTGAATCAGTTCTAGTTAAATATATTTAAGGGATAATTAATTCATGATATTTAGTACAAACCAACATCTAAAAAGAACCGAATTAGAATTTTAGGCATGCAGAATGCTGCATATCCTTAAAAGAATTATCAATGATAAATATCATGAGATGTATCCTATGCCCTGGTATGTGTTCTCAATGTAAAGAAAACATCCACCACTAAACCACCCATCATTAAAATTTGTTTAAGTATATTCCACTTCAAGCCCATGTAGCTACATTGCTGATTTCTTTTTCCTTTTTAAAGTATGAAAATAATTGATTGAGGCCACTCCATTTTTAATTTCAAGTAGGAAATAGTGTATACTTACAAGATAAAGAAAATAAAACTTCTTAGAGAAATGATCTATGAGATTGTTCACGCATCTCCTTCATTGGATAATTTTCCACGAGCCATGGATTTTTATAATTGATTTTTAAAGATGCAACCTTCTAAAAAAGGAATATGCAGTAATGAAATTGATTACAAAGCATAGAAGTCGTGCATTTGCTACTAAAAAATTTCCTTTGGCATTACCTTTGGCTAATGATTGCCAGAGCTCAGACTGATCTGTCTGGGACATATTCATGACATTCTTACAATTACCATTAATAATGTATGCTGCCTGCAGCCATAAGCATATAAGAAAGTTTCACAAACATCACCATGTAATTACTGAAACCTTTGTTCAGATAAGACAAGATTTACATGCACTTAATGTTTGAAAAATAATGGATTTGTGGAATAAATTCAATGGTTGATATAACAATGAAAGATAGAAAGAAAGAAACGAAAATAATAACAAAAGAAAGAAGCAAATTGGCACCAAATTGTGAGCAATAAGTAGGACAACAAGAACCACGTAATGATTTTTTGTTGCATTAAAACTATTAACAGATGACAAGCTCCAACTTTAACAAATGAAAAGCTTTTTGGAGGGGTAAAAACAGATAATTTGAATACATGTCGGGGGTAGAATCTCTTTAGGGAAATCCTAAGATATTTATTTAAAAGAAAGTTAGTGTCAAAGAATTCAGTAAATTTCAACATTTTATAAACAGCTAGGGGATTGACTATGGTGGGAAGCTTCTCTAGCAATTAAAATTTTGATAAGCAGTAATGGATGAAAATAATTTAGAGATGTTAAAGAACTTAGTACAAAAGGTAGAATTTCTAGCACTTCTAGATAGATTAATCACTAATAAAGACTTTATGATAAAAATCAGCATATAACAAACATTATTTTTCAGCTTGCTTGTTAAACTTACGGTTTCCAACATGAATATGCCCCATAATGTTCATTTAACAAAACGAGTCGGGGCTACCAACTGAAAGAACAAAAACAGTTCAACAGGTTTGCGAGTATCTCTTGTGCTTCTTTAAAATTTAAATATAGGAAAGCCAGAACAAAGCTAAATAAAAATAACATGGAAAAACGTTAACATATGACAGTACTGACCTCCTTCAAGGAGTTAATAAAGCTCCATTTCACAGGGTCCTCCCCTCCACAAGGTGTCAATATTTCTCCAGGATGCCCTCTAAAATGAACCTACCAAATATTGTGGATTAATAATCAAACAAATAAGACAATGTGTGTATGAGATTAATTTTTTCTCCTAATTTTATTTTTGCCTTATCCACTTTATATAATCTTCAAACTCAAGATCACATCATTAATTGTGGTCTACAAATCAGAAAATTATATATGGATTGAGTTTCATTAAATTTGTGATGGTTTAACAACTTATCAAGCACAGAAAAAAGACGAGGATGATGGAATGTTCATAAAGAAGCCTAGTTAAAAGTGAAGTTTTTTTAATATGCATTTCACCAATCAAAACCAGCCAACACATGCAAGAAGGTATCAAGAATCCATACATTTGATTCCTAGCCATTTGATAGTCTTTGTGTATTGAATTCTCAATTATCTACCATGCAAATAAAGCAATCTATTGTGAATATTTTGATGCATCTGATTGATGATCAAACAAACTTAAAAATCATTGAAATCATATATGTCACTAGTTTTAATGACGCTAAAGAGAATGAATAATTTTAATATTGTATTTGAATCTGACAATATCACATTTTAATTGGAAGGATGATGGAGTCCTAGAAGTCTATGCTCATTAGAAATGAAAAGCTTGTGCATTATGATGAGCCAATTAGCAAATTGTAGCTTTTATTTTAGTTATTTTATCTATAATTTATTTGGTGATTTTTATTATGAGGAAATAATATGTTCTCTAATATTTTGACTGTGAGAACCAGAAATATTCAGGTAAATTAATATTAATAGTTGATCTCTGTTAATTATTCAATAGTCTAAAGTTTTAAACAAATGTTAATTAGAAAATAATCCTAATGAATGAATTAAATATAAATTCTGTTTACACTCAACCAACCAAAAGAATGCATCGGTTGGCTCTTCACATTAATTGGAAAATGAAGTGGGATGGCAGTTGCCTTGGGTCCCACCTCCAATTATTTATTGTATACAAACTGACTGAATAGATAAGATTCCACCGCGGAGGAAGTTTCGGATAGTGCAAAGAAAAGAATTCGGTTACAGTGCTTTGAAGAAGAAATAGCATAGAGCAGAAGAGTACAAAGTCACTGAATAGCCGCAATCCAATAGTTCTTTTATCTGTTTTGATATTCATAAAAGCGAACAGAGTTCTTTCCCTGTTTAGCCGCAAGCCAATTGTTGTAGGAAATCGGCACAGTGCTTGCATTCACTGTAGCTTTATTCGGTACATTGCTTGAAGAGGTTCTTTGGGTACGGTAGATAGGAGCTTTCGGCACAGTGTTTTAAACACTGTAAACAGCATCGGATATTTGCTGGAAGAAGAGCCGCACCGTTGTGAATAGTTGTTCGACACGTTACTGTGAAGAAATTTCTGTGAAACAGAAATTAAAAGGTAGAAGTGTTGGATGCAATCAGAAGATCCAATAATAAGTACAGGTTTGAGATTTTAGAAGAAGGAAGAAGATTCATTTGGTTATATGAAGATGAGAGGTTCCGAGGTAACTTATAATCATAGAAGACTTTGAAGTAGAGAATTGGAGACACCTCAGCAAGAAAGTAAGTAATGCATTTATATTCAAATTTAAGAACTTTCATTTATAGGCATGAAAGTTGATTTTGAATGCATTAAAGTAAAATGTTATAAATTTGTTTAATGTATAGCAAGGCTTTTTAAATCAAGCTTCCAAGTATGAACAACCAGATACATAATGAAATTAGGTAAGTGTAAAACAAGGTTTAGTATGTTAATCTAAATATTTTACTATTTGATATTGTTTCGGAAAGATGTCAATTTACTTGCATATGGTATGCATTTTAATTGTACACCGGTGATCACAACAATGATTATGAAAGAATGCAATAACTTAAGCATGACTAATGAACATTGAAAAGCTTTATGAATATCAATTAAAAAATAAAGTTTGGCTACAAATGATGTATAATAGTAATTACAGGTGGGGCAAAAGGGACCCCAAGGGCAAAAGGGACTCTAAATAATATACTTGTATTACAGGAGGGGCCAAAGGGACCCCAAAGAATATGATACCTGCATCGCAGGTGGGGAAAAAGGGACCCCTAAGAGGCAAAAGGGACCTCTATGTAATTCAATGGCGATAATGTCAGGTTTACCTGGGCTCCATTGAATAATGTTATAAAAGTGTAGCCAAATCTTTTATAGATTAAAATTGATATTCATTGCAGAATTCAAAAGAAGTAAAGAGTAAGGTTAATTATGAATTTATGATGATTCCAATGTTTGATTAATTTCAATGATTATATTTTTATGTTAATTAAATTGCAAAGTTTACTGAGTCTCATAGCTCATCTTTATTTTCTTACTGGCTGTTGTTACAGGAAAGTGCAAGGAGAAGATTGTTGTAGATTAATTTATGCAAGTTATTTCTTCTTTTTATGTTAAAGCTATCTTTGTTAATGAATCTTCTTGTAAGGTATGAAAACATTTCAGAAATGGATTTTATTTGGATTTCCTTAGTGGCTCTGTAAGTATGTTTTAGTGAGGTTCTAATTTTTAAGTTGCTTATGTTGATGCATAAATTGAATTATGGTTGGATGATTTATATGATCTTCTAAAAAGAGAAGTTGTATTAAATATTTTGAAAAGAAAAATGTTTATGTTATGTTTGCTACACTCTACAGTGTTGTTTAGGGGTACTATGGGGTGTTACATTGACTCATTAGTTCGGTTTGGCTTATTGGTTTGGTTCAACCTTTGATTTAGATATATGGTTTGTTCATCGGTTTGGTTATTGTTTTGGCCATTAAAGAGAATTGGTTTAAGATGAATAGGGTTTGGGCTCCTTCGACTGATCATTCCGGCTTGTGGTTAGATTGCTAAAATAGTGTTAGTTCATTCCTATGATTGATGAGATTGTTGTTTTACTATCTTACACAGAAAATACATGTGCATCCTGAGCACTACACTACTGTAACTGATTTCAATTTAAAAAAAAAAAAAAAAAAACTGGAACTGATTTCAGACAACATCTTAGTTTATCAAGTGTGATTTTATTCAAAACTGCAAGTACGAATTTGTTCTTTTAACGATTTCAAGTATTTTTTACAAATCTCTAATTTAATGATCATTGAATAATTACTCAAAGCAAATTATTTGTATCTTCTTGCTTGCAACAAATGAATGCGGTTGTTTTAAATGGTGATCTTCCAACCGTGATTTCTAAATCATGATTTATTGGGTTGCATTCATTTAGTTGCATCCCTAGACCATAAGATTGCCATAAACTAGCTCACTTTAAAAAGGTTAACATTATTTTAGCCCCCTCTTATGTTAAGAACAACCCACAGTTTTACTCTTTTAAGTGCAACTTCTCTAGAGGTCACTCCTCCAAAGAGTGCTCCATCATGATCATGCTAAATCGTGAAGTTCCAATGAAACTCCACCCAATATACCAAAAGTTCCAGTTTGGCTTATTCATTTATTGTGGGTTCATTTGGGGCAGCTTTTCACAACTTCACTTCCAAAGAGCTACTACAATTTTATTTTGTTATAATTTTCTTTTTGACTTTAAAAAAATTTTAAGGCAAGAAATACTTTTTTTATAACTAGATCTACTAGAGTATAATAGCTATAATAAAGTTGTTATTTGACTTTTTCAAAAGGGTATATATATATATAGCTTTCAAAGAGTATACTTCTTCCAAAATAAATTTATAGATTTTTTTTTCACAAACAGATGCTGCCACCAGTTGAGACAAGGTTACACTCCTCACCAACACCAATTACTTCGTTAAATTATAAGACCAATAATCATATAGTTATAGCAGCAGGAAAAACCTGCAATGGTCTTCTAACCTTTTTGTTAAACCCCAAGAAACAGATTTTTTTTTTTACCCCAAGAAACAGATTGTTCTTTAAATATGACGCAGAAGCTATGCCTAATAAGCTTTTCGTCTTAGCCACACCCACCAAGAGCAACGCCTTCAAACCAGCCCACCAAGCTCAATATTCATGTCTAATCCATTAACTTTGATGAAAAATCAAGTGCATTGTACGGGCATTTATAAACTGCTTTACCTTAGTCTTTTTGTGCATCAACACACCATTCAATTTCATCTTGACCCACCAAAGTCTATAAAGCTAATCAAGTCACTACATTTTTTTTGTACTTTAATACTACTCTTTTCAAGTTCTTAAATAGACAAGAAAATCATAAAAAACCACTGCAATGACAAATAAAACATGCTGCAAAAAAAGTTGGTTCGCTTGCACGAATACTACAGCAATGAATCACTAAGGCTTTGTTTGAATCGAAGAAAATGAAATGAACAATTAACAAATTGTGGGTTGAATTTAAATGTAAAGCCATTGATTTGAGCTTTTCAACTCATTTTTCATTTCCTTTCAATCAAATTCATAGCATGCAAATATAACCTAATTGCCAAAAATCACCAGCAAGATCTCTCTGCATCTATTTTGGATTGTAATCAACCAAATAATCATGCATTAATAGCAGACTACATAATCTGCGCCAAAAGGAGGAAATGAGGAATTTAAAAGAAATATTTAGTTGATCTACAATTTCATAGATATCATACTAAGTTGCCACTCATTGCATATTTGAAGAAGAAAGCACAATGATTAATCTCCATAGCAATAATAAATGCTAGAGAAACAGGCACAGAATTGGCAATTGATGAAACAAAATTTAGCAGAATATTTGGAAAATTAATGTTAAGACCTAAAGTAAGTTGATGAGATTGAGGAAAAACATCAGCTCGGATAGACTCAGCTTGATAAACTTAAAAACAAAATAAGGAAGAGAGAGGTGAAAAAAAAGTACTTACTGTCAAATTCCATGGTCTTTCAGGTTCTGCACATAGGAGATCAAAGAGAACGCCTGTTGGTATATACCTACCATAGATACATCAGATCCATGAATCCAACACCAAGTACAGCATTTGAAATTTTAAAATTAGGGTAACTACAGAACATGTTTTCATAAGTACAATTTAGGTGCAAGAGGTAGACATTTAACAAAAAAAATTACCATTATCATTTTCATTCAGTGGTTTGACCAAGTATTTCTCTATTTCGGTTGGGTTACATCAAGGACCAGCCTTAAGCTTATATCTTTTTGCTTTAGTCATGGATGTTCTCACTAGACATTTGCAAGAAAATGTACCTTGGTGTATGCTTTTTGTTGATGATGTTCTTCTTGTCGATAAGACTAGAGAGGGAGTTGAAGGTAAACTTGAATTATGGAGGTCAACCTTAGAGTCTAAAGGTTTTCGCTTGAGTAGAGCTAAAACGGAATATATGGGATGTAATTTTAGTAGTAATAGACCTAGTGAGGGGATTGTGACTTTGGGCGATCAAGTCATTAATAAAATACATGTTTTAGTTATCTTGGATCTATTGTTCAGAGTAATGGTGAAATAGATGTGAATATTATCAAAAGAATCCAAGTTGGATGGTTGAAGTGGAGGAATGCATCAGGCTTGTTGTGTGATAAAAAAAAGTATCCCTCAAACTTAAGGGAAAGTTCTATAAAATGGTGGTGAGGTCTGCAATGCTTAATGGTGCCGAATGTTGGCCATTAAAAGAGAAGCATAATACTAAGTTAAGTGTGGCAGAGATGAGAATGCTCAGGTGGATGAGTGGCTTTACCCTTAGTGATATGATACGAAATGAGCATATTCGTGAAAAGGTTGGAGTAGCTCTAGTAGAAGATAAGATTAGAGAGAGTCGCCTTAGATGGTTTGGCCACATAAAACGGTAGCCTTTCGATGACCCGGTTAGGAAAGTAAAGGTATTAGATTTGACTTATGTTAAGAAAAGTAGAGGAAGACCTAAATAGACTTGGTTAGAAAATATTAGAAATGATCTTTCTCTTTTAGATTTAAATGAGAATTTGACTTTTAATAGGACACAATGGAGAAAAAAGATTCATGTAGCCGACCCCACGTAGTGGGGTAAAGGCTTGTTGTTGTTGTTGTTGTTGTTGTTGTTGTATCATTTTCGTTCAGTCAAAAGCCTTGCAACTTTAGCAAGGAAATATAACATGAGAATTTGAAAAACAATAGTAGTTCATATTAAATCCTTAGAAAGAAAACGCAGCATACATCTCATTTATAGTGATCAAATAGCCGCTCAACTCACAGCAACATTTAACAAATCCAATAATGACAAAAGATACAAAGAAAGTTAAATTATTTTTTTCAGCAAAGAAGAAAAATAATAACTAATAAAAAGTAGATAAGCAAAAACATAATGAAAGGAAAGTACGAAAGAAGAGGAAAGCACATGGGAGTTATGATTGATGATAAACTCCATTAAAAATAATGCACTTCACAGATTTCATTAAATTACGTTCAAATAGAATTATATTTATTTAATAACACAAATTCCACGTCTCATTTCATGATTCTGTGAAGCTCCTTATGAGTTGGAAATGATATAACCACTGAAGGAGGTAAATAGTGCATGAAATTCCCGACAACACAGGGACTTTTGTTCTTATTTCATATCAAAATATGTACTAAAAAAAATTAAAAAAAGTGATCTCAAATAACCTCTAAATCACAAGTCAATTTTTGCAATAAGGTTATTGTACGAGTTAGGATGGTGTCATCTTTATGGTATATGCAATGAATTAGATTTGTAATTTTTCATAGTCAAACTATCGTTAAATTTGCAGTGGTGGCAACATGACATAGTTATCAATTGGGTGAACTTGTATAAAATTTTGTATTTTTATGTGCTGATTTTTTTTCCTATTTTCATTCTCAGTGTTTAGACTAGGTTTAATCAATTTCCCAATAAAATCAATCACCATAAGTGCCTAGATTGTAACAGACACTCAGACAATACATCAAAGCCTTGTGACATTCATGGTACGCCTTATTGCCCTCTATGTAGAGTTTCTATTAGAATGTGCAAAAATATCTATTAACTACCTCTGCTCATAAATATGGAATCACCAATGTAGAAAATATTAAGTGACGAACAACAGGATATCTACACTTGGCCTAAACTACAGTACTGATGACTTTGGCAAAGAAGATGTATCAACTTCTGTACCAGAGAAACATTAGAAGACAATCATGATAGATAGATTGACAACCAATAAGAAAGCTATAACAGAAACAAACCAAAAATTAAAGAAACTGGCCAATGGATGATCATGAACATCAACCTCCCGTGCCAAGAGGGAGTGGGCACAGTTAGAGAAAAAATGACCTAAAATACCTGAATACTTCTAATTTGAGCATTCAAAAAAAGTGTAATCATCACCTCTGAAGCTAATGAACACCTAAAACGATACACAACCACAGTTAAGAAATTAGTAAAACAGGATAATGCCAATGATCACAATCTTTTGACAAGATTAGTGCTTCCAATATCTTTAGGCATACAAGTCTATGACATTAAAAAGCACGTCTGCCAAATGAGAGTCAAAACAGCAACAACCACAACATCAAGCCTTTATCCCACTACGTGGAGTCGGCTACAAGAATTATTTTTCTTTATTGTGTCATGTTAAGAGTAAAATTCTCATTTAAATCTAATAAAAAAGATCATCTCTAATATTTTCTAACTAAATATTTTTACGTCTACCTCTACCTTTCTTAACATAGGTCAAATCTAATACATCTATTCTCCTAACCAAGTCCTTAGAAGGTTGACATTTTATGTGACCAAACCACGTCGACTCTCTAATCTTATATGTTACTAGAGCTACTCCAACATTTTCACATATATACTCATTTCACATTCTATCTATAAGAGTGAAGCCACTCATCTACCTGAGCATCCTCATCTTTGCAACATTTAACTTAATTATATGCTTCTCTTTTAATGGCCAACATTTTGCGCTATAAAGCATTGCAGGTCTCACCACAATCTTATATAATTTTCACCACCAATTTAAGCCAAAGGATATTCAAAAGTGAGAACAAAATATGATAGCTCCAATTATGTATCATTTCCAAAGCGAAGTTCAGATCACATAAGGAAATAAAATTATACAAATAGCATGAACGATTAACACAAGCAGTTAAACAAGCCTAAGGTACAATATCTACTTATTGCAATGATAAACAAAGAAGAAGTCATCTTCTGTACCTGCAAAACACACCCATTACTAGATGCAAGATTACTAAAATGAAACCAGACAGTGAGTTTTCCATCACTCCTTTTATTCAGTAGCATGAATAGCATATGTAAAACCCGCAAAATGCCGTTTAAGATCTCGCACGCTTTTCAAAGCACTGCGACGAGTTTTAAGTAAAAATTTTGAAGTTGTCGGATTTCGACGGGAATAATTTTAGAAAATATAGAGTAAAATTCTGATCGTTTTGATGTATATAACCCATATTGGATTTTAAGTATTTTGGGAATTAAAATTTATTGAAAACTCTAAATGACAACTTTACCCCTAAGCTTTTAAAAGGTCGAAATTGCTTAAGCGAGGGCAATTAGGTCTTTTGGCCATTCCCATTTTTCTCTATTAGGCAAACCGAAACCTCCCCACTCTCCCCCATTTGCTCTTTTCGCCCAAATTGAGCGGACAAAGGAGAGGCGGACGGGCAAGGCGATGGGAGCTTCGGGTGGAGAGTTTCCGGCGGCCGATTGTGGAGGAAAACGTGGGAAAATCCAAGGGAAGACTAAGGTATGTGTTTTGCTTGAGTTTTCTCCTTCTTCCCTCAAGTTTTCTCTAAGAAATGGAAACTAGGGCTTTGAGAAAACTTGGAATTTCTTTGAGAAAAGTTTAGGGAAGGGTAGTGTGATGTTTCTAAATCCTAATGTGTATTTTTTTTATGAAAATATCGATTTTTGAAATCTAGGGTTTTATTTGATTTTGATTTTCTATTAAAATGCCTTTGTAGAAAAGTTTCTATTTGTGGTTAGGAAGTCTTTTTGTGAAGATGGATTCTTTTTAGAAGAAGTTTTTGCATGCCCTAATAGTTAGGGTTTCCAAAGCTAGAGTTAGGATGAAATCCTAATTCTAGTGAAGATAAAATGGAATTAGCATGGTTTAAGTGAGAGATTTTTTTATAGAAAAACCAATGCTTGATATGTTGATTAGCTACATGCTTTGCCTAAGGTTTTTCTTTTAAGGTTTGAGGGAGGAAAACTTATGCTTACACATTATGTTTTGTCATTTGTAGTGTTTAATATCATAAGAGGAAAAGGGGAGTAAGGATTTTTGGAAGTTTGCATTGTGGTGCACGGATTAAGGTAGGTGGAATGGAAGTTCTTGTAAATTTAGTTAATTCTTCTTTTATTGCCTTATGCTTACACATTATGTTTTGTCATTTGTAGTGTTTGATATCATAAGAGGAAAAGGGGAGTAAGGATTTTTGGAAGTTCGCATTGTGGTGCACGGATTAAGGTAGGTGGAATGGAAGTTCTTGTAAATTTAGTTAATTCTTCTTTTATTGCAATTGCATAGAAATGATAAATTCTTTTATGCTTATTATGAAACTCTTATG